ATTTATAGAATCTAAAAATTGTTAGAGATCTGATTAAATATACATTATGCACAAAAGTCATTATATTAATAATTTTTATTATACCTTAAACTTAAGTGATGCAATTGTAATTTTTTATTTAAAAATCAATACAAAATTATCTAAAATATCTCTTTCTGAAATAAATATTAAGAAATTAATTGTAAATTAAAAAAATTTGTACATATTTCGATCTGTTTACTTATTAAAGTAATTTTAACAGTCTAAATGTATTTATTAAATATCCAGGTTGAAATGGAAGATGTTCAAGATACATTAAAAGAAGAAGTAAATGAAAAAGAGAAGGAAAAAGAAAATGAAAACGAGGCTATACCAACTAATGATGATAGTCAAGATAGCCAAGAAGAAACAGAAGAAACGGTAATTTATTAAAATGTTTCTAATCATAATATTTCTTCAAAATAAAATCAAATAAAAATATATTTTATATATCAAACTTATATAAGTATTATATATTTTTAAATAATATTTTGCTCTTACTGTATTAATTACAAATTACATCAAAAAAATATTAATATGATAATATGGTCATTATGTTTTACTGCAAATTTAAAAGTATCTTCATTGATATAATTTTCAGTTTCAGACAAGCATTTTTAAATTCCACATTAATTTAATTAAGATATAAAAATTAAATCTTTAATGTTTGATCTTTAATTTAATATATTTTATTTGACTAATGAAAAATATTTGTTTTTAGTATAAAAATATATTCATATTTTAAAAGTGTATTAATCAGATATGACATATATATATATATATATATATATATATATATACTAATAACATATTATTAATTTTTTAATTTTGTATAATTTATGTACAAATAACTACTAATAATAAATTCAATTTTAATGCATATTATATTGAAAGATGGCTTGATAATAACAAATGTTTTGAAAAACACGTTTAACATTTTATTAGAAAAAATTAATGTTAACCTATATGGTATATATATATATATATATATATATATATAACATATATATAGGTTACATTCCTTGTCTTATATATATACAAATCAATATCATAATTATAATTAATAGAATATTAAAAATTTATTAAATACGATAGATTATGCAATTTTGTTGTAAATTTGAAAAATAACTTGTAGGGAGTCAGTAAATGGGAAAAAATGGAAGCGGAAGATAAATTAGGTAATTCTATTTCATTTTATTAATAAAATTTATTTAAATTGAATATTTATTAAATCATTTTTAATTATATAGATCGTTTGGATGGATTAAAACGAAAACATGATAACAGACCACAAACAATGGAAGAATTTTTACAGGTTCCTGACTATTACGATGCAGAGGATAATTCGGGAAAGAAACACGTAAGGAAATGAACAGATTTTGTATTTTTGTTTACAATGTTAATCAATGTTAACGATCATTTCATTAATTGTTTATGGCATGTATTTCTATTACAATACAAATAAAACATAAGCATTATAAGTTTTATAGCATTAACAATTGATATCAAAGGATCAGGAAAGTCTTACTGTTAGTTATTATTACACTTTTATGAAATTAAAAAAATATATAATAATTGTAAGGTTCATTTCATTATGACAAATTACATATTACTTTCAAAAATTTTGATACAAAAACAATAATTTGATTAAATTAAAAAGATTTTTTTTATTGAAATAAATTAAATATTTGATTGAATTCATACAAGAATATAAATAAAATTATACTTATTTCAATTTATAAAAAATATTACCGATTTTTTATTGTTTTAATTAAAAAAAAAAAATAACTAAAAATTGTATTTATGCTAATCGAGTCTAATAGAAAACTGTATTGAATATAATTTTCAAAATTTGTTTTCGCTATTTAAAAAAGACATACAATTATTTTATTTATATACAAGGATTGCTCGTAAAACTATAAGCTTTTCGAACCTTAATTTATAAATAAACATTTTGTTTTATTAGTAACCATTTTTAATATTGGAATAAAATTTCTTTTCTATATATACTCAAAAGGTTTTGAAAACAAAATTTTTTATTTATATCTAAATATATTTAAATTTAGTTATAAATATTTCATTAAATCAGTATTATATAATAAAATTATATCGCAAAATTATTAATATATTGTTTTTTAAAATAGTAATTTGAAAGAATTGAGAATCGTTTGTATAATTTGTTAAATTTTTAGAGTTATTTTTATATAACTTAAAATAAATAGAAAAACATAGAACTTATATAATTGATCATTTATTATACTGTAATATATCACAAGTAATTAATATAAACACAATTATATGAAACAAATTGGATTAAAATACACTATTAAATTATTCAAGTTCATTGATTTGATTTTACATATTAAAAAATTAGTTAATAGCTAACTTATAATTTTTTATTAATCAAAGAATTAAGTGCATACAATAATAGGAATAGATATTTAATTAAATTTTAATAATTGTATTTTATTAAATTATTTTTAATTCATACATTTTAAATAATAATAATAATATATATTTTCTCTTATTGTTTTATTAAATTCAATGATACGATGAGGTAGCATTTTGAAATGACCCTTCAGTTGGCGTGCAGATTTTTTCTAAACGATTTAACCTGAAACTAAAACTCAAAAATATATGTTCTGATAAGAATCGTGAAAATTCCGAAAACTTGAATTTACTATTACATTACTAATTGTAAACAAATTTATACTTTTGTAATTTAGGAGAAAACTCAAAAATAAGTTATTTGATTCAAAGAATATTTTAAATTTGAAAATCAGTTTAGTAATTTTTCATTGTTTAATGACCTGGTTTCATTCTCAAATTGTTATCCGTCGATTAATTTTGTCAATAATGCTTATATAACTTAATATTTTATAGATGTGTTAATATTAACTCAAAGATAATAGTATTTATAAAAATTTATGCAATGTCATTATTGACGTTAAAAAAAACTATTTATTTCAATATAAAAATGTTTAATATTAATCAAATTTTCAGCTGAAAATTTACTAAGGTTATTGCAACTATCGTTACACCATAGAATGATCAGCATTAAGAATTTAAAGATAATAAACTTTTTTTATACATAACGTGTAAAAAGTTATTTGGAAAGTTCTTTCTGAAAAATATGCAGTAAAGAACTTATGAAGAGCTATGCGTATAAATTACTAATTCTTTTTGTGTAAAATATTAACATAATAAATGTTTAAAATTATTACAATTAACTTTTTGAATATTTATCAAGTGATCATATTAGAACAGTTTGAAAATTTATGTTCTAAAAAATAATATATATAATTAATTCTACATATATTTTAAATTTTGGATGATACATCCAATAAATAGCCTTAATTACTCTAGTCTTATGAATAATATGTACAAAAAATATCTTCATGTATGAAATTTTTAAATCTAGAATTTTTATTGAGTATTATATGGTTTCTAACAATAAAAATTTCTTAATTCAAATAGCAATATTTATAAACATTAAAATTTAAGACCAGCTGTAATAATTAGCTATAAAATAAGATTACATTTTATGGAAACATGTTAATAATTGTAAATTTTATAAAAGTATAATTTAGAATAAATTTTTTAATATAAAAGTGTCTCATATTACTTCTCACCTTTATTTATTTTTAATTTTATTAACAATTAACAGTATTTTTTAATGTATATTCCATTATTTAATTTCCTAATCAAAATCTTTAAAAAAGAATTTATTTTAAATATATATGTGGTAATAATTCACTTGTATTTTTCATTTTTTGTTATTGCATATAATTTTATAATTTTATATACTTTTGTAAAATTTATGTGTTAAAAACTTGATGTGCTATAAATACCTTTTTAGAATACCTATTTACTATTACATCAGTTAATCAGAATTGATTTTTTTAATTTTATGTATATGTTATAAAATGTTATAAAGATCCATATATAACATATAGAATATATTATAAAAATTACAAAGTAAGAAAACGTTAATCAGTTGCATAACTTTTATTGCAATTATAAAATCAAGGAATATATACTTACTTTGTCAAACTTTATAAAGACAGTATATTAAATTAGCATCAATCAACAAAAATGTTTATTTTAATTACATTAAAATAAAAAATAAATAATTTTAATTAAATTTAAAATTTAAGTTTTTTAATAATGTCACTTAAGATGAAGATATAAAAATAATGTTATTTAAATTTGATTAATTATTTAAAACATTCATTTAAATAAATAGGTGACAAACTACTGTAGATATAACATGTATACTATAATATAGTTAGACATGAAGATTTATAAAAAAAATTTTATATTTTGAAGGTATTATTTTTGTGCCTTTAAGGAGTTGTCTTTATAAACAATAAATAATAAAAGCGTTAATGAATAATTTATTTCTAATAAGCAAAATACATGATTATATATTTTTATAATTATATAAATATATTTTTTTCTTTAGTTTGTTTAAATCGAAATATTTGAATGTCATCTGTGATTTTTAAAATATATTTGTATACAATATTTCAAACAACAACAACACGCTTTAGTGTAAGATTAGTAATATAATTATAAGTTAAAAATTTTTATAAATCAAATAAAACTTCGAAAATTATTCATTATAAAAAAAAATTAAATAACCACATATATTTAGTTTATAAAATTAAATTTTTTAATTTTATACTACAATTCTTTATAAATCTATATTATGTACAAAGAAAGCTATTCTAATAAGTATGATGTTGCGTATTCCAGAACTTTTGATATAAAATGAAAATAATACCCACGTGTAATTTCAAATAAATTAACAACATTATAATCTTTTTAAAATATTTAATATTCAATATATTTATCAATGTTGGAAAACTAATATTTTATATACCAAAAATATTTTTATGTAAAAATTAGATTTGTATCGAAACTAATTATAAAATTTTATATTGCAAATCCTTATATAATCTACACGCAATTTACGCATGATGGACCCAACTCATGGAGGCAGCGCACTGACACGTACAAAGTATATATGACCCAGGTTTCAATCAAATTTTAACCGAAGGCGTTTTGATCATTAGTTGAGTGTAAACAAGAACTAGTTGAGACCTCTCTCATTCGTCCCCCCCCTCTCTCTCTCTTTATATATATATATATATATATATATATTTATATATATTTCACTCACTCACTCACACGCGCGCACATACATAAATATATTCTCTTTTTTCCACTGTTCCTTTCTCTCTCACGCTACCATACTCGCACGCATATATACAATGAAACACATTCGAATCGCATACTCACAAGTATCCATGTACTTTCCGTTTCATACATTCACATAATATTTCTATTTTATGTGTGATTAAGCGCATAAATAGTGTTATAATTCATGCAAGAAAATAGGCCAACAAAAATAATAGCGATGTTAAACCTACATTTTACTTGTAAATTTTAAGCTATTCACGAATAAGTATGAACCACTTGGTTTGTATGAAATTGTATTATTTTCCTTGTCGATTGTGATAGGTATAGGAAGGAGAAAAAACGTTTTTATATAAAGCAATTTATAATTGCTTAGTCATGTATTTTCACCAGAAATAGTAGTTTCAAAAAAGCGAGTTACAATACTGTTTATTCCCATAGAAATGAAACGTGTGTATTTCGTCTCTCATTCCCATTTTTTCACTTTCCTTGTTTGTTTGTTTTTTAGTTTTTTGTACATAAATATTTCTAAATAAACAAGAAAAAAGAAAAAGCGATAATAAAAAACAAATCCAATGTATAATTGTCGGTGCCATCATTTGCATCCCTAAATGCATATGAATGCATTTTTATGTCACTTTTAGAATTGGACGGGAATCAAATTTCTATGCGTGATTTTCAATTTAAAAATTATTGTTACTGATAATTAATGATAAAATTCATGGCATATATTTGTAAAAATTATTGATTGCTGATGCAAAAATAAAACCATGTACCAATATCAAGTTCTTTGATGGTAGTGTATAATGAATCTACAAAATATTAGTTTTGCTCTTTTCTTCATTGCTGTTATAGAAACCCGTGTACGTTCTCCTTTTGCAGTTATGTTTTGAAGGACATTTAGATTTCAAAGCTAAAGCTGATAGCCTTTTCGAATTTCATCATTCTATTTTTGTATGAATCGCCGATCAATATTGATCTATCAAAATAAAAAGCTTAATCAAGACCAAGATTTTGAAACAGCTTTTTTATTGTATTAGAAAAAGTTTCTTATTTGAATAATTATTTATTAAAATAATTTTTAGTGAATTTGTCAAATTAAAAAAGCAATCGAGAAATGAAATAAATAAAAAACTTTGATTGGAAAATCAATAATTTAAATATAGAAAAACTTAAGTTACAAGTCATTGAACTAATTTTATGAATTGTGTTAAGAGTGTAGTGATGCATAGATTTATTTATTTTTCTCATCGTTTTGACGTTTGAGATATTAACTGCATTATATAAAAAATTATATCAGCTGCTCCATGGTACTGTTTTGCAGTACTGTATTTGGAAGTTCACAAGCTTCTCAAAATAAGAAGGTATCCTCTATTAAATTTACAAAGGCCAGAATTGCTTCCCCTTCAGAAAGGAAATTTTCTGTAAAAGGAGAGTAAAGGAAATGAACGTTAAATGTTTAATTTATAAAATCTATTATGATAAGGCGATTCGAATTTGATATTCGAAATATAGATTTTTAAACAATTGAAAAAAAATAAAGGTAAGTTATTTAATCATTATATAAATTATTTTAATATGTATATTATTTTTAAATTTTAAATGATTTATATTTGCAGTTTTAACATACCTTCGACAATATTTCTACATCTTATAAAGGCATGATTTCCAATGTAACCAACATCATAAATAACTACTTTCAAGATCAAAAGTTGTAGAAGATTTGATAAATATTAATTTATTTTAAGGATCTGTATACATTTCATTCGAAATCCAAAATTCTAGTTTTTGAATTTTACAATATATTTTGAGTAGGTCATTCATTGTATTATAAATAAAATTAATATTTAATTTTTTTAGAGACAATATATGCAGAGAAGTAAATGCTTGATCAAATATTTATATTATAAGATAAGATATAAGAAAATTTTTTTTAATTAATAAATTAGAAAATTTTCAACTCATTGTAAAATAGTTACAATTAACAATAAGAAATCAAATTTTAAAAAGTAAGTAAACCAGTGATAATTTTCAATGTATATTAATTAGTACTAACTTTAATTGGAAACTGTTAATTTTTAAAATTAAGGAAATTAATAAAATTATATAATTATATATTTCAATATAATTATAATTCAAATTTGTAAGATTTGAACATAGAAACTTGTTAACTGATAAAAATAACCATAATTAAGAAAATCTTCATTTATCATTTTTATTTTTGCATTCAAAACTTAAAAATAAGGACTTCAAAAATTTTATTTTTTGACACAATCAAGCATATATTTCAATAAAAGAGTATTTTGGGTAATGTGATTACATTAATAATGATAAACAATTGTTCTTTGACTCTTTTATCTCTCCTATATTATTTTACTACCTTACTAGAACTTGAAAATCTATAAACAAATTTCTGGGTAATATCAGGTAATATTGAATTAGACTATCTTATTTTCAATATTTAATCATAAAAATAACTTACATTACTATTTTTTCAGTGTGCTAATATATTATAAATCAAAACAATAACAATGAGAATAATGTTAATTTTAATCATTGTCACGACTTTTAGTATGAAACATTTATATAATTAAAAAATTATTTAAGTAGCATGTATTTTATGTATACAAATTTTTAATAATTGTGAAATAAAACGTAGTCTTACAAATAAAATTTTTAATCATTAGCCAACAAATTAACTGCATTTCAATTAATAACCATCAACAATAGAAATGATTGAATATTATAAATAATGTACATAAAGTTTTGACTGAAAACTGAACAATTTGAGTTAATGTCAAAACATTTTTTATTCTCAAAGTACGCTTTGTACTTTATTAACTTTTTACTTGTAAGTAAGCATAAGCCAATTTACATTATTGTAAAAATGAACAACATTAGTAATAATATAAATCAACATGGTTTAGATAAAATTTTCTAGTACATTAACAGAAGAAATGAAGAGTAAAAAAATGTCTATAAAACTACTTTTATTATACTTATACAGAAATCATAAAATTAAAGATGACACCATTCTAAATTAAATCTAAATTTAAAAATTTTAGTTTTAATTTTTTAAAAACCAAGTGTTTATAATTGTAGTAAATAAAACAAATAGCGTTTTTATTTTATATTTAAAGTTATTTTAATTTAATATCAATTATTATATCTTAATATTTACTAAATGATTAAATTGTACTTTTCTTAGTTCTGAGTAGTATTATTTTATGAAAAAAAAGTTCTTGCGATTATATCCTGTGAAGTTTTAATTTTTAATAAGTATGAAATTAACATTAAAAACAATATTTGTTTTATGATTAATAACCACAAAATGATAAGTAACATATTAAGTTTCATTCCTATTTATAAAAGTACTATTATGTTTAAGTTCTATTCATGAAAGAAATAACATTTACAGAACGTTTATTTTTATAAAACTCCATTACCTACAAATATATATATAACGACCAAAAAATAAAATTTTATTTAATTAATCGATTTAACAATTAAAATGATCAGACTAAGAGATTAGTACTGACATAATAATTTTTTAATAAATATCAAGAAAGTCCTACTTTCACACAATTAATGATTACATAAATGTATGTGCTATTTATTGCATTTATTTTGTATACACAAAAATATATAGTAAACTTAGTAGTTATAAGTCACTGGCTCATAAAGGTGATTAAGAAGTAAATAAAAATTTAACCGAAATATTTATATATATATATATATATATATATATATATATATATAAATCTTCTTTTATATAGATTATGCATTTATTTATAACATAATTATTTTATACCTTACATAATTAATAAAAATATTATAAATATAGTATTTAATGTAATATAATTCATATAATTTTGCAGAGTATTACATGTAAATAGCATTTATCATTGTTTTGTGATGTTTGAAAGTATAATGGAATAAAAATTATGCTAATACCAATTATTACAATTTTTCTAGCAGTCTTCTTATCTTTGTAATTTATATAAAATATAGAAAGGATCTTCATGTAATATTATCATATAAACCATTTTTAAATATTTTTGTTTATATTTTTCTTTTGCCTTTACAATGCACATTTTTATATATTTGTATATATCATTATTATACATTGATAATATTAAATCATGACAATTTTATTTAATTTCTTTCTAATTTAGTTTAATTCTAATTTCAAGATAGATAGTTTGTATATGATATTAATTATAATATTTTGGCCAACAAATACAAAAAATTTGTTCTGTTATAAATATAATTTTTATACTTTGATAATTATTTTTATTTATTATCTTTAAATATTACATAATATTAAGTCTAAATTATACAAAAAATATTCTTTATATATTAAATAAAAATACGAATTTATAATAATTTATAGCATAAAAGGCATAAAAATAATTTTATTTAAAAATATGAAGATCATTAGATCATTATAAGCTATATTATAAATTTACTAAAAAGATTATATTTAAGTCGAAAGAAAATTATTATGAATGAGATGATTTTGTGTTTGTGTATAAATGTAAAATAATAATATATTTTTATACTACATAAGATCACTGAATAAGAACATAAAAAACTATTTATATGTAATTATTATATCTATTTTTTATGTAACTATTTTATTCAGACTTTTGTAAGTTTAGAAATTAATTCAAATAAAATTCATATTTTGTTTGTATGTGTATGTGTCATATTGTGTATTGTACAATTGAATTTATTAGTGGCGAAGACAAAATGATTTTATTGTGACTACTTTTCATCAGAATGTGGTATCTGACAACTTGTCGAAATTAATGATCTTTCAATTAGTCATTCTTATTTCAATTTTTTTCTGAAATCGTTTTAGGCGTAACTGGACAAATAGAGGCATGGAAATACATCCAAGATATAACATAATGCAATTAATGCCTGATTAAATCTACAATTCAAAGATGCATCTTACAAAAATATAGATATTATGTAGATATGTTGATATGTCGATTCTCAGATTCTCAGAAGCATAAACTCACGATATGTAAGGTAAGTACTTTAGAGACGACGCATTTTTTCAACGTATTGCATATTATACCTTATAAAAAAAATTTTACTTGATTCCTAATTTAAAGAATAAAAATTGTAAATATATTTTTTTACATTTGAATAAACCATTGTAATAAAATATGTGTTAACAAAATCATATTTTCCGGATCTTCAATAGTATGTACACCTATTGAAGATAGTGGGATGTAATTATAAATAATTTCAAAGAGGTAAAATATAATTAATCTTTTATAAGTATTATTTATTTGGAAGATAATTGTATTTAATTAAGTTATGTTTAAATATTATTTATTTCAAAGAAAGTAAAAAGTTATATATTGATTATTAGAAATATTATTAAACATTGTGCAGTAATTAAAGTTAATCAAATACTATATAATATCATTAATTTATTTAAGAACATTTTAATTAAAATAAATTATTTTTAAATACGTATAAAATATTTATAAAATTATATTTTCATTATAGGTAATCAAAATATTGACATTTATAATTGTCAGTCATTGAAAAAAGTACAATATACATAATTGGAATAACTAATTTGATTGCATATTTTGTTTATAAATCAAACTCAGTTCGATTATAAAGACAATATAATATTCATCTATTACATTCATTTAACATATTATCGGAAAATGACGTTTAAACAATAAATAAAATGAATTATGTTAGTATTCAAGCACTACATTGTTTAAAACTCCAAATAAAAGTAAGAAAAAAACATATAGAAATAATAACTCAATGTTTATGATATTCTATAACAAGATATTAAATTTGATTTAATTAAAATGCCAAAAGTCAACAATTATTACAATTGTTTAAAGATTTACGATGAATTGATTGTTGTCAAGAAGTTTTTATATAAGTTATTTATATAAATATTAAATGTTACATCAATGATTTGAGATAAAACTTCACAAAAGTTCAAGATCTTGCCGAAATAGACTTACGAATAAGCTTATATAATATGAAATTGTAAAATATTTTAATTAAAAATACAAAGCATCCGTTTAATGACCATAAAGATAAAGTAAAATAGCATAATAAATTTATAATCGTTGAAAGTCTATAATTTATTCATATTGAAAGTAAAAATATCAAACATATAGAATTTCATATTATTGAAAAGAATTTAGCAATAGTAAAATATTAGAGTTATATAAGATAATATAAGATAATATATACGATAATAATCAGTTATATAAGAATTATATAAAAATTGAGTATCATAAATATAACATTGTAGATGATATAAAATAAAATAATTCTTTACAAGGTAAATATTAAATATAAATATCAATTACTTTATATTTAATATGATTAAAAATTAATCAAGTACAAAACAATATATATAAGTTTAGTTATAAAAGGTGTAAACAAAATAAATGAATAAGTATACACATTTTATAAAAATAATAATATATTTTTATAAATATTTTTAGTGTGTATAAGAATTTGTAATTTTTATATTGTTTTATTATTTATTTACAATTGTATTTAATACATATATATATATATATATATTTATATATAATTTTACAAGTTGTAAAATTCCAGTTGGCTATGTGTTTTGTAAAAAAACAGTTTATCATTCATCAGACCTATTACAAAAAGCATATTTAAAAACGAATGAATTTTTACTTAATTTACTATAAACTATACTGTTTTTATTACATAACACGCAATAATCTATAAAAATATTACATATACACATTGGTAATTGTCTTTTTATTCTTATAATAATGTATTATGCCTTATATTAATTCCTTGTCAAATATAAACAAATTATAATAAAATTACAAAATAATTATTTCAATACGTAACTATTATGTGATCATTATGTAAATAATTAAAATTGGGATTATTGCAAAACATAAATTTACGTTAAGATATAAAATTGAAAATGTCTATTACAAAATCAATAAAAAATATATCTTAGAATAATTAATATTATGTTAAATTTTTAATTAATTTATGTTAATTTCTATACAATAATAATATAATTTATTTATGCATTTCTCTATAAAATTAATATACACTGTATATATAAATATATTCGATCCTTTATACAAATTCTTTTAAATTAAAAATATTCGTATTTAATATGTTGAATAATTAAATAAAGATATATTATTTTAAATTAAAATATATTAGTACTGCTATATAAAGTGTCTAATTATTAATCTTCTTGTGGACGTTACATTTTTAATAAAAATTAATTATTTAGGATTTTCTAGATTAAATATGATTAATTGAGTACCTTTGGTATTCAATTGCAAAATGGTTTCTATTCAATGAATCTTATTTTTATAATATAGATTTAAACATTCATGGTTCACTCAGCATATTAATGTAATTTATTGTTTTAATAATGGAAGATATAATTAATTTTCAATATTTATAACATTATCAAAATCTATAACATTATCTTCATATAAATATATTTTTACAAAATAAAATTGTTACTACTACGATATTACTATTTTTAATTCTGTTAGATTTATAGAATATAATTCAATTTATTTTTATTTTATTATTATTTCTGCAATGCAGAATATAGTTCACTTTTCTGAACTATGAAGTTATCAATTTTAGGAATCCATATTAATATTATATACAAATTAACAAACCTTTATAATACTATATTTCATTATATTTGAATTAATTATTTTTAAAATATGTAATACACAATGAATTATTCATTAAATAATTATTAAGTATAATATTAACTATAATAATAATTATTAAAATATAATATTGTACATACTAATATTTAATACGTAATATTATTATTTTTTCGTACATGTTTTTTAATTGTATTCTATTGAAAATTTTTTTATGACTACATTAATATTCAGGTTTATTTGTGTTGGTTCGATATTTTAAATATATCAAAGTTTTAATCGGTTCAATTTAACTTGAATTTTTAATAAGTAAATTGTTTATGGTCTCAAGTTTTAAATGTCTAAATTTGAATCGTTATATGATCGAGCTGCATTTGTGAATGAAAACGAATTGAATTAATAGTATTTTATATTAAAGTCCACTAGAATTATTTTATTTACATTTTATTTAATTTATACGAGCTTTATAAATCTATTACTAAAAAAATTTGGAAGTATACATTTTTTACTTCAATACTTTATTCAATTTATTTTATTGTATATTAAATAAAAATTTTCTGCATAAAAACATTAAATATATTAATAAACAAATTTTATTATTTAAAATTGAAACAATTTCGTAAAAATAACAAATATTTTTTATTTTAAAGATCTCTTTTTAGAATTAATTATTTTTATAAAATTATTAAACCCATTATTTAGTATTTAAAGCTAATACCCACTGGTATATGAAGACTATTTCAATTGGCATAATTAGGTATAGATATTTTGATGAACGTGATTGGGTATTTCTTATTTCAAAAATGATAAATATCTTAGGTGCAAAAGTGGTTAATACAAATCGTGTAATAGCATTAATACCTAAACCTCCCAAATTCTATCTTTACCACTAGTACATTCATCTTATAAACAATAATTTCGTAGGGCATTTCTTTGTTTTAATATCCACCGAAGAAACCTGTAGTATTATTGTTATTGTACTTATGGTTATTACACAGGTAGGTCTATAATTTCTCTTCTGAATAGTATTTCGGAAACTAGCGTTGTGTTTATGCTAATATATATACTCTTTTTTATTGCCAAAATATGGAAGATTTAAACTTCTTTCTTGTATGGATGAAATGCTATCTTTGACTTTAATCCACTAAATTTATTAAAAATATTCTTCATAAATATAACATAGATATTCCTTTTCTTCGAATGAATAACGGTTAACCTCATTTAATAATTCTTATTAATGCACGCCATTACAACACTATACTTAACAATGCACAATACATAGCAACCAGCGTAATCGGAAATGTAGATGTAACAATAATCCATAACTAATTTGCATTTATAACATACTAGTATGAAAATTCTATTTTAGAGTTTATCTTTCATTTATCCTACAAGAGCCTATTTTCCAGGAGCCCTGAAGTCATCCCTTAGAAGTTCGAGTCCTGGGTACAGAGGTTCAAACCTGTCGATTTAAGCTGCTTCATCATACATCAAGGTCGTGTGCGATCATTAACAAAAATTAATTGATTAATAATTAAATTATTCGTTTATAGTATCTTTGTAAATAAATATTTGCAGAATAATTTAAAAAAAATCAACGTATCTTTTATATACAAACAACAAACATAAACGATACGTAAGTCTCTGGTTACAGATAAATCATAATTTTTCTATATAGCATATTATTGATCACAAAACTGTAGAATATAAAATGAAAAATATAAATCTTTTTAATATTAATTATTTATTTGAAATTATTGATAATCGATGGTATTAATAAAAAAAAAAAAATTAAATTCTATCCGTAAATATTTTAATATATATTCTGAAGTTTTTAAATTTATATTTGAAGGTTGAAATTTAGCGATGTAAATTATTCTCAAATTAGTTTTAAAAATTAATTATGAGAAACAAAAAATAGCATTAAAAATAAACTATAATTTTTATAAAGAAGTTTAAAATTTAAAACTTAGAAGGAAAAAGGTATCTCTACTACTATAAAATATATAAATTAAATAATTTTTAAATTTATAATAAATATATTAAATGCTTATTTAAATAATTTATATTCATAATTATTATTATATAAAATGTAAAAAAATTTTATAGAATTAAAAATTGAATAGTACTTTAATTTTAAAGCAATTCGTAATTAAATATTAAATATTAATACATAATATAAATATTATGTTTTTATCAAAAATTGAATTTAAAATTTTTATTATATGTAGCACGATACCTTTTACAGTCAAAGAAATGTCTTTTATCATATACGAAAAATATAAGAACATTTTTTAAAACCCATACTAATAATTAAGTTTGTCACTAGAATATTACACACATGATAATCATGAAAATTTCAAATTTATAATTAAGGCATATATTGACGTTTGATATATTATTTTTACATTTAATTTTTCAATTAATTAAATTCAACATATATCTGAATAGATGGTTATATTTATGACTTGAATACACTTCTTAAGTACAATGGTACATCATATTTTTACTAAAGTTTTTCAATAACAAAATTATTTTAAAAATAGTTTTTGAAATTTTAAATGAAAATCAATTTATAATATACAAAGCATTATTGTAAGAAATACTTAACAAAAATATTTTAATTCAATTTAATATTTAAGTTATGTATTTCTTATAAAATTTGTAAGATAATTTTTCCTCATTGACTTATATATTCTCTATTGTTACAAAAAATGGAAATTAACATTACTCTTGACTCTTCTGCTTCTTCATTTGTACCCTGCTCCCTTTACTATGTCAAGTTTTTTTTATGAATTTTCTATAAAAATTTTTGTAAATGAACAAAAAAAAATTATAATTTAAGCGGTATTTCGAAAAGTTATGTAATGTAGAGTTGAAATTTATTAATAAAAAATCAGTTTAAAATATTTGTATTCATTTTTTACACTTTGTATTACTACCAAAAACAAATTTAGAATTAATATTATGAAGTATATATAGATCACTTGTTCAATTATAATTTTTGTATAAATATTCGTACAAATCTATTTTACAATTATTACAAAATAATATGAAACTTATTACAACATTTATAATGACGATGAAATTAAATATATTTTTAATATAAATAAAATTTACTTGTTGGTTTATTTTGAATTTGAAGTTGTAAGATAAATAAATATATTTTTTTAATATGAATACTAATTATGTAAATTTTGTAGAACTAAAATTAATTACAATTGAAATTTACAATTTATATTATTCCTGAATTAAGTTACAGTTGAAAATAAAAGATATTTAAGAAAAAAGATTGTTATTGTATTTTTCAAATTCTGCTGAACATATAAAAATAGAAAAAAGATTAGTGCAATAAATATTTTAACTTGAAATTTATTTATAATACAAAAACGTGTATAAAGTCAAAAATAAATGAAAATAACTTTTTTTAATATGGCAAATTATTGTTAAAATTTCGAATTGTATTGATAAAAAAACCTAATATGTTCAAAATTTGTTTATAATTTTTTAATTTTTTATCGAGTACGATACTATTATTAATAATATTGTATAACTTAACAAATTATTACGTTTTTTACATTTACTGCGCACAAAAAAAATATATATTTTTTTCCATAAATTTTTGTTAATAGAGATTTATATTGTAGTAGATTATTATATTTATATTTGAAGGAATAATTATATTAATATACTATTAAATTAAGAAAAAAATTAACGATTATTGTTAAATTCCAAATATAATTTTTAAAATTTATTAATTTGAGTTTTTTTACTACAGTATTCAAATATAAACTCTAATTATTATATATCAATTTATTTTAGTAATTTAGTTTTGTTTATTGTATTTTAAATATTAATTATAAATCTCGTGAATGTATTAATTTATTATAAACAAAAATATTTGTATTTTATATTTTCTTTATTCTGCGTTATTATAACTTTATAGAAATTTTACAATATTTGTCTTATTTTATCTAAATCCTTACACCTTAATTTTATTTTAATTTATTTTCATTCCAAAAAAAGTATGTGAAAAAAGTCATATCAATAGACTGATATATTTCACGTATTAAGTGATAATTTTTTATTAGACCTTATGTAAAAGTTTCATTGACTCTAGTCGACCTAAAACAAAAGTTCCATAACTACATAATGTAAATAGCTATATTGTTGTGAATTTTGTAACAAAATAACAAAACAGAATGTCTTTACGATACTTGACTAGTATGTACTAATATGGATTGTTAAGATAATGGATATGCATGATCGATATTACTCCATAAACTAAGGCTGAAAGGAAGTAAAACTTTGTTTCCTGATATGAATATAGCTCTTGGCTGCTACTAAAATATTACATCAAAGTTTATTAGCGCTCGATCTTGTAGAATGTTAATAAACGAGTCACTAGTTCTTACATCTTTCTTAACTACTATATATGCACAACAGCTATTACCTCCTCGATGTGGTTGAGGGTGCATTTTTGAGTAATGCATGGGCAGAATGGAAGCATTGCTGCTGTAATGACATAAGCGTTCATGTACGGCTTCTAATCGATATAATTCCTAAACGAATTATTAAATAAGTATCTCTTTATAGTCTATTGAAAAATAATACATTATAATAGTCGACCATATAAAACTCACACATAATGATATGTGAAGAGATCTTGTATCATTTTTGTGTGTCATATTTCTTAATAAAATAATAAATCCAGGAATTTTGTATGTAAAATCTATGAAATGTGAAGAGAATTTCACTATGATATGGACTTGATAATTTATTAAAATTAGTTTAAACATATTAAAATTATTTTTCATTTTTTTTAACATAAATATTAGCAACGTAAAGTAAATAAGTATATAATAAAATATGTTTAAATCTTTAAAAATTGATTACCTTATATTTTATTTTACAAAATTTTTATTTAACTAAAACCTATTTTTTAAATTCATTAATTTTATAAATTTATTTCAGCAGAAATATATGTTTAGAAAACTTTTTATACTACTTCGAAGTTTTAAACCAGAAAAGTATTATTATTAAGAATTTAGTTATTTATCACCTAAAACAAAGTTCAAAATAAAGTCAGAAACGCTTTCTGATTCAAGATTATATTCAAATCTTCTCTAATTTTGTTCAAAAAATGATTGCGAATAAAATTAAGTAATAAATAAATAAAGTTTATAATTGTTTAAAATTCTGGAATTGTAAAAGCCCACAATACTATTTGAGATATAAAAATAATATTGCTTCATAAATGTACAAAAATCAAATGAATATTATTCATTAAATAATTATTCTTTAATAAAAAAATTTTAATTCTCATATTATATTAGTATATTTGATTGTCGTTCTATATATAAGTACAATTATTTATGATTTAATATGAAGTTCTGTCATTAATTAAAATTTATATAAAGGTATAACTTTGGAGGGGGAGGGACTATAAATAATATCGTAATATATTAAAATGATACATAAAAAATATTTTCATTTGAACAATACTTAATGCGAAAAAATAAGATATTCGTAATCTTAAAAATGGTCATAGAAAACATGTTTTTTAACACAATACAGTTGGAATTATTTATTATCATAAAATATAAAATCCGGAGTATTTTGTTATAAATATGATAGCAATGCATAAATTGATACAGACGTTTACATTAAAATCAGTTAGTTAATTACTTACATTTACTTAATTACAAGATCGAATAGAGCAGATATATACCAATACGTCATCAAAGTTACGATTTTATACGTACACTCCTACATTGATGTTCTCATACATCGAGGATGTGTGAGTACCTCGCTACGCACGGAAATTTTATACGATTTTATACGTACACTCCTGCATTGATGTTCTCATACATCGAGGATGTATGTTAAATTATTTATGTTATGTTATGTTATGCAATTTTATGTTAAATAAATTTAAGCACAAAGATTTTATGATCCTCTATAGTTAGCACTATATTTAGTATAGTAGTATAGTAAGTATAGCTCTATAGTTAAATAAGAGTCAATCTCTATGCACTCACGACGTCCTGAAGACATTGCACATATTGCGTGATAATATTTATCCAAACCATTAAAAATATTAAATATAACAATCAGGGAACAACAAACTAAGAGCTTATTTTGCACATGCGTACGAATATCTGCATAGAGAACAATCATCCTTACGTAACAGAATCCATAACAATAATAATAATTACAAAAATATGATTCAAAATTTTTCAATTTACATTATACAATAGCTGAATTATTTAAAAACTGAATTATCTATTGTGATGAACCAGCATTGTTATTCATAAACAATTATTATCATTAGAATTGTTTGTTACAGTATATACAATGTAGTACGCCCATTACATGTTAAGTCATCGTTTTTTACGTGTATTCATGTCATCTTATCAATATATTTAGAAACAATTTGGTATAACGTAGTATTATAAAGTAATATTAATATAGTCGATAAAATGTATATGCTCACGAATGCAGTAATTCCTTATATTTCGTATCGAACAACTTTAATATAAAATTAAAACACATGATGTAACAGAATTTCTACAAAATAATCCAGTTATATTCAGAAATAATGATAAAATAATAGAATCATAAAAATAAGAAAACATAAACTGTTAATGACTAATATTATGACAATAATTTAATTTCGA